ATTCTAAAAATCTATTTTAAATTATATCAAAGCACCTCAGCTTCACTGTGTTCTGTTTTAACCCATTTTCTTGTCGGCTTAGGTCTCAGGCAAAGCCTGGCATAAAATGTAGCAGATAGGGTACTTTGTTAAAAGCAATAACAATGGGCTGAGTAAGGGTGACACGCCTTGTAGGGGGACAAAATGTACTTTTGCTTCCCACCTGCCTTTGGCAAATTAATTAAATTAAATTAAATAAGATGATGTTGAAAAAATAAAGAAATCTATGCGTGTCCGTCCACGCGGACGCAATATGAAATCAGGTAATTTATTGCCACTTATTTTGCGGGACTTAATCTTCATAATTTTCGCGATAGCAATTCATAAAAATACCGCAATCAAAGGCCCGCGAAAAAATTAGTGAGGTAACGTTAGCAACGAGAAATTTAATTCCCTGCAACGAAACGTCGACGCTTTCTTCCATGATTAAGTGGCGTTTATGTTTTTCTTCTATTTAAAATTGCGTACTGATGCTCTCGAACACTTCCTGTGAATCCCGGTTACTGAGAAAATTCATAACGAAAATGCTGACCTTTGTACTAAAATACACCGTGCCACAAATTAACTTATCAACCTGTGTTAAGTTTTGTTTTGTTAGGGTTCCGTCCATTGTCATCGTAGAATATGGCTTTGCAAAGTTAAAATCTGTAGGCGGATTCTAAGAGTTTGGTTATAAATATTGATTAATAATATTAAAAAGCGTTGGCTAAATTTTGTTTTTTTTAACAGGATATTTCTGTAAATTGGCAAAATTTAAGGCTTTCGTCCACTCCACGCCGGAGAAATTTAAAAACGGCGTTTTCGTTCTAAAAACGTATCAAATGTTGTTTTCTGTCCACACCACGCCGGAGAAATCCGAAAACGCAACAATCATCGGTCTATCGCGGTGCCATCGTTTTCGAAAAGCTCCATTTTCAAAATGTTTTCCGTCCGCACTAGTACTAAAACGAAAAGCCGTCATTTTCAAAATCCTGCGGTGTGAAGAGCTTTTACGAAAAGCTCCGTTTTCGTGTCGGATTAGCGTGGACGGCGGACCTAACCGTAGAAACAGTCCTCGTTTTCAAATTTCTCCGGCGTGATGAGGACGAAGTTAAGTCCCACGACATTTACTTCTTCCATTATTGCGAAATTAAAATTAAGTAGAGACCACACTTTTCTCCTCACGTAGTCTTTCACTCCTAACCCTCCACATCCTCCTCCCCCTCCACCCCCTGTCCACCCCCCTCCACCCTTTCAGCCCCACAGGCAGGAAAGATTTGCACACAGATAGATGATGGATGACATCTGCGAAGACGAATAAAAAATAAGCAGTATGTGAAGTAAGCAATTTTTCTTAACTGTTTAATGACAAATTGTCAGATAGTACATGGTGTCGACGTTTGAATCGATTACATTTTAAACGCAATGTGTGATGCGAAATATCAGCACACCTAACAGTAAATGACCAATACTGTAGCCAGATAAAAAGTTTTGACTGAAGCAATGATCGTGGTCAAATTCTCTTCTTAGGTATTTAGGCTGTTTATGATAACTATAAACAGCAAAGGCGAAAAACTGACTGAGGCAAGGGCCCGGGTTAATGTTTAACTGTTACTAGCTACGTCCCTGAAAACTGCTCAAAGGCTCATGCATTAAGAGGGAGTTTTATACATAGTTATATCAAGAAAAAACTATTTCTAAGCAACGGCAAGGCATTTTTTAAACGCGTCAGCTCGTACAGTTTACAAACGCAAATGTCTACAGTCACAGTGTTCTTTACATTTTGGCGCACAAAACTCGTTTTAAACACGCATTTTCCTGTTGAACAATCATAAGCTGTGCATGAATTCTCAGGTTCTCCCTCTCAAGAAAAGCTGCCTTTATTTGTGTTTGCAGTTCTCGGGCTTTTCTCGCGTCCCTTGACTTTTTTGCCGAAGCATTATTTTTCTTTCTTCGCTCCCAATAAGTTTCTCTTTCTTTTGGTCCGTTACGTGTGTGATCGTCTTCTAAAGCGTCTTCTTTTCTCTTCTTTCCAGCAGGTTCGTCGCTTAACTTGTCTTGTTTTTCAGGTTGCTGAGCGATTGTTTTTTCTAACTTGTATTCCTTGTTGTCTTTGTTGGATACCGCTTGAGCTGCGCTCTCAAAGGTGGTAATTTCCTTCGAGTAGTCCCTCGAAACGGGGGAGTTGCCCTCTGTGCTTTTTGTGTGCACCAAGAAAGGCAATATCATTTTCGTGTCTTCATGATGCCCACCATAATTCCCGCCTTCACATGCCAGTGCCCACGATTTCCCCTCACGCGTTCGATGCTGACTGCCCACTTGGAATAACTTCGTCTTTGCTGATAGTGACGAAAGCAACTCACTGCATATCTGGCGGACTCTGTTAGCCTCGCTACTTTCTGGAATGTCTTGAATTAAAACTCTTTTATCTACGAAAGGAGCATTAGCACTTGCAGGGTGAAATATTCCTTGAAAGCTGTACAGAAATCTGGAAGATGTAGCAGCATCGGGTAGGAATGTTGCACTGCTTATCTTGCCGTCTTGTCTTCCTTTCTCCATGTCTATCGCTTTAAATTCAAGTCTAATGTGAAGATTACAGTGTTATTGATTCCTTTTTATCCTCTCTTGTTCAGGAAGCCACCAAAGCTGAACAGGTGTTGCAGGTGCACGTGAGTTTTCGTTTCGTTATATAACACACGGAATAATGCGTAGATGGTGTTTTTCTAGGCGAGTTTTGTGTCGTTATATGCTGTAAGTTCCTGTCAATGTTATTATTACAAGGAATTAGGGGGGTAGTTTGCTATAACAAAAAATAATACTTAACAACGTTAGCTTTTACCAAGCTAAAAGTGTAGAACATAAAGTTGATAAATCTACGCAGCTTTCTCCCTAGCTCACCTCACCTTACCATACAACATTCGCTGGGCCTCATATTTTTTGTAATTGTCATGTAGAACTCCGTAGCGATTTTCACCGTCACTTCACAACACCCGTCTACTCCCCCCAGGAAACAATGCAAGACGCAGTTTATTTAACCTTATATAACAAGCATTTTGAAAATTGCTTTCACATGGCGTCGGGAAAACGTGAGGTCGACCATTTTGAAAAAAAAAAAGAGGAAAATATTTCTCGTTTTAGTTAACTCACAGCTGTGCAACTGGTTTCACAAGATTCACCGAGAACAACATTGAGAAATTCAATATTCAAAACAAAAAAAGATGATTTTGTTGACTCCACGTGGATTTAAAACACCTCAGAGCATTGTAGAGTAACTATGATTTTTGGAGAGAACTAATTGGCAGT